GGTTTGATTTTCCACATGTAAAAAATCTCAAACTTATTAAGTCAATGTTATGGTTTTCAACTACTAGCCAATAATAAATTACCAAGTTTTTCTTGGCTATAATTAATAGTTATTTACTTATTTATCTCTTATCGTCCTCATTTAGAATATATTTATATATTTAAGAAAAAAAAAATATTGGACCATCGTGGTTGTGAAGATGCTTCTGATTTGAATTCCGGACTCCATGAATTAAACTTTCAGTCATTATTTATAACACTATGTTTAGATTTAGTCCTTTAAGTTTTCATTTTAGTCCATTTCCTAATAAATACTTATTTCGTTTAGTACATAGAAAAAAGGAGAAAGAATTTGACAAAATGAAGGTCTACAAATAAATTGAAACAATAAATTGGAACATAAATCTCACTCCCAATTGTAAGCCCAAATTGTACAATATGCTTAAAATGATGCAGCAAACTGTTAATGGCTGGTATTGTTAAGGCCAATTGGAGATTAGTATGAAGCATGCAACTACAATTAAGTAAATATTATTCCGGTCCTAGCTGGAACACATTATGATTGATGTGATTTGCATATTATTATTATCATTAGTGTAAAAAAAAGTATCTAATATGTTTGATTGTTATCATCAAAAAGAAAATAAGGAAAAAACAAAGAAATTAAACACAAATCAATTAGGTTTAAGGAATATAACGACCAAAACACAAATCAAATTCCTAACTATGATATTGAATTATTAGACATAAATACCTTTCGTTCGCAATCATTTTTTATTTTTTATTTTTTATTTTTTATTTTTTATTTTTTTTTTTTNCAAAAAAAAAAAAAGAAAAAGAAAAAAAGTTCAAAATTCACCTGATGAAATCCAAGTTCCTTAGACAATGGCACCCCAATCTCACTAACACACCCTCCGACCTTCTGATCCGAACCGTAAAAATCCGAATACCGGTCAATGCACCCGTCGAGCACCCGAACGAGCTCCGCAGCCAGCGCGTAACTGACCGCGAAGCCCGCCCCTCCGTAGCCCATCGTGTACGAGTGCACCATGTCTTGCTCCACGCTTTCCGAGACGCTCCCGATATAATTCATCCTCTCGTGATCGTATTTTCCCAAAACGCTCGCCAAATTCTCGGGGAAAAAAACCGTGTCGTCGTCGCCCATCACGAACCACCTCACGTCCGCCTGCCCGAGCTCAAAGCTCTCCTTCACAATTCGAGCCACTCGAACGGCCGACCGGTGCCCGTACGGGCACGTGTACTTGAAACGGGCCGTGTCGGACGAGACTTTGAATTCGGGGGATGATTCGGGCCAGGGCTCGAGCCCGTTTTCGGGGCTCGGGGCCTCGTCGAGCCAGACGAAGCCGCGGGTCGCGTTCGGTTCCCACCAGAGCTCGGAGTAGCGGCGGCGATGGGACCATGTGGCGACGGAGCCGCCGATTCCGAAGAGAATGTGGGAAATGTTGGTTTTGTCGGGCCCAGGCCTGATGAGGGCCCGTTCGGGCCGGTAGAGTGGCCATTTAGTGAGGGGGAAGGGTGTGAGATAGTAAGGGAGGGAAAAGAGGGAAAGGAAAGTGAGTGCTAAAAGCGCTTTTAGGAAGGTGGGGCTTTTGGAGAAAGCGTGTTTTGGGGAGGTGGGGTGGAGGTGTTTGAAGGATTTGAGCAAATTTTGAAATGAAAAAGGCATTTTTTGTTTTTGGGTTGTTTAATGTTTGTTATTGATAGATTTAGAGGAGCACATACATTTTTCTAAGGTTTGAATATGAGTCTTGTGCATTTATGGAGTCTTTAATGGAGAATTTATTTTGTTTGTAACATTCAATTCTTACCACAACAAAGAATTATACTCTCTCCGTTTCTTATTAAATGTCGTTTTAATTTAAAACTTCTAAATTACGATTTTAATGGGTTGTGTAATAATCTTATTTTTTAATCTTATTAAATTTAATTTTTTATTTATTAATAGGTGGTTTTTAAAGATAATGATAAGAGATAATGTTTTGTTAAAGAGAATAAAGATGTAAGAATGAATATAATATTTCCAACGACAATTAATTTGCAAAAAAGTTGACACCCTACAATACCATTTAAAACGAAACAGAGGGAGTATATAACAATTCGATATTGCCTATTGGTATGCACATAATATAGTGTTTAGAATAAAAGGAAAGAATAAAGAATTATATGAATTCAATATTGCTATGCTCATAATATAGTGTTTAGAATAAAAGAAAAGAAAAAATGATATTACGGTGATAATTTTTTCTATTTTTCCCGTAATGATTTTAAATTGTTTTTTTTCTTTTTTTTTTTTCCAAAATGATAGAGATATTATATAAATAAAAACCACATGCGAAGAAAAGCAGCCAAAAGATGAAAAATACAACTAAAGACTGAAAAGATTGGAAGACAGATCCAAAGATCGCTAGAGCTTGACCTAGCAACGCTAGAATAACAAACTCGCAACTACACAAATGATAGATATATTATATAAATAAAAACCACCAAAGTGCGAAGAAAAGTAGTCAAAAGATGAAAAATACAACAAAAGATTGAAAAGACTGGGAAACAGATCCAAAGATCGCCTAGAGCCTGACCTAACAACGCTAGAATAACAAACTCGCAACTACACAAAAACATCAAAGTTACCCCGCACAAAAACCGCACAAATTGTTTTTAAAATTGTTATGTTGTTAGTTTTATTTAAAATATCAAAGTTAACCCCGTAAAACTAGCTCTTTATATATTATAATATTTTTTTGATTTATAGTTATATCATGTAGTAGAGTTGATAAATTTATTTAATTAATAAATAATAATTTTGTTATTTTCCAATTAGGCTCGATTATATGATTTAACTCTTATTTGTAAAGGTAGATATATATTTCATTATATATGTATAGAATGTTATATTGAAGATTATTAATATTAAGAATATATATACATAAAAAAATTACGTTGAAACTGTTTTTCAACTCAATTTTTTTTTTTTNTAAGGATATGTTGAAACTGTTTATGTTGTTATTAAGGATATGTTGAAACTGTTTTTTAACTCAATTTTTTCTATTCTAACTTATGTTGCTCTTAAGGATTCTGGACTTTTGTTAGAGTGTGAACCCACTAAATTTACGTGGGCCTACAAGGTCCATTAGAATTCATCCTTGGGTTCCTAAGAATTCTGGGCCCAAAAAAGTGAAAATAGGTCTATTTTAAAATGAAGCTCTCTTGATGCCATAAGCTTGTAATATTTGTGACCATCTATCATTATATAAAAAGAATAACCTTTTTACAATTTTAGAAACTTTTTCCCGCAAAAATCATTAAATATATTCTAATATAGTAATTGTTGGACAAATCTAAATAGGCAAAAAAATCGGCTCATTTTTTTTAGTTTATCAAAATCGTTGTTTGACAATAAATATTTGTTTTTCTTTTTTCTATTTTTAGTTACAAAATCCCATTGCATACGTCTCCCGTGTTTAAAAAATTTCATCCTTTATCTATACAGATTTAAAAAAATAAAATAAAATAGAAACCAGTTCATAATTACTACTAAAAATCCATTATCTTTAAAAAGAAAAAATAAAATAAAATAGAAACCAATTCATAATTACTACTGAAAATCCATTATCTACCTTAAGAAGCTAATTTTTATCGGTCTAATTACTAATATTTTTACAAATATTATAAGCTAACCATACAAAAAAGTATAATAATAATTTTGAAATGGTGTGTAATTAAATTTTTTTATATTATTTTATACAAAAAAATTTTACATTGTTTGACTCCGAATCTTTAATTTATAATTATTAAGTATTATTTTATCTTCTTCTTTAATTTATAATTATTTTTTTTTGCTTCCTCTTTTTAAATAGGATCAATAGTAGTTTCCACTTCGGTCATTGAGTGACTCAAACTGGAGGTCTATTTATAATATTGTTAATTTAATATTGTTTCCGTGCATCGCACGGGATATATACTAGTTATGGTTTGCAAAGCTCATATGTAAACCAACTAATTAATGACGGAACGGTCATGATTTATATCAATTTAAAATCTAAGTCAAATTTGATGACCAAAAATTATTGGGATCAAATCCATTTTGTTGTTCAATTTCGTGTTTTCTTTGATTAGATCATTAGATGAATGACAGATTTATTTAAAGTAAAATAAAACAGAAAAGTGCCACATAACATGTCTATATGGCTATATAATTTTTATATATTATTTTTAGAATGGAAAGATACAGTCATTTACAATCAAGAAATTACAGTCGGATTTAAACGAAAATATCATACTTTTTAACAGAAATAGATAATTGATAATTACAATATAAAACATCATACTTATGTTTACGTAATTTTTTCAAAATATAACAATATGTAACAATATGTATGTTTGTCAGGAATAAAAAGGTGTGTGTAACAATTAATTATTTTATGTTTGGTGTGTGTAACAATTAATTATCTTACCGATTAGGCGATTACACTATAATCACTTAAATCTTAATCAAATTAAAACTCATAACGCATAAAAATCTCTCTCTCGATCCATAATTTACATTTTCTTTTTATTTTCAATACTAGTACAGAGTCCGTGTGGGGTGCACAATTTTAAGGCTATTTATCCAGGCTTATAATTATATACATGAATAAAGAAAAATGTACGGGATATATATAGTACGTGACCCATGCGAAGCACGAGATATATTTATTTGGAGAATATTATATTATAAGATGCAATATTCAATAAAAGTTTATAATACGCAAGAAAATTGTACAATGTTCGATAAAAGTTTTATAATATTCAAGTGGAGTCTTAAAGTCTCTTGTACATCAAGACTACTGACAAAATAATATTTTAATCAATGAGTTTCCTTTCCTTGTAGCCAAAATTGTGAATGTGATTTGAGGAGTACAACAAATCGATATATAGCTGACTTGTTTTTTTATTGTAGTTTTTTTTTTCTTTTTTTCTTTTATAATGAATTTAAAGATATTCTAAAATATAGCAAAAATTAATTTTTTTATTACAATTAAGAATTTTACTAAATATAAACTCTCAATCTATGGTGTTAATCAACGTTTAAGTCTAAAAAATTAGGAATTTTTACCTCTTTTAATTAACGTTTAAGTCTAAAAAACAATAGAATTATTATAAGTTTTTTTTCTACATCTTTTAAAACATTAAATATGAGCATATTAGGGTTAGCTTGTAAAATAATTAATATATTATCTCACTAAAACATTTATACTAATAAAAAATTAATTTTAGCATATAAATTTATCCCTTGATATAAGAGAAAGTAACAGTTTTACTTATTGTTGTTCACCATACAATATTTAATTATTATTTTATTATATAATAAAAAAGAAATGTTATTAAATAGTGTAGTAGAATTGTTATAAAATTATATGATTTTCTTTTTTACAATATGGATTTAATATTTTTTTATGATTTGATAATATAAACAAATCTATACTTAACTTTGACAAATAAAACAAATAAATACTTTAGTAAATATTTAATGTATATACTAAATAGGAATATATTTGGTATAATCAAATACCAAATATAATCAAATAAGTCAAAGTGTACATTTTTATTTGGTATTTTATTTTTTTATTATTAAAATCTTTTTATTATATTTACCTTTTTAAAATAAAATAAATAAATAAATCAATTAAATAAATAAAATATTATAATACAAAAATAATAATGGCATTTAATGCAGTTGACTTTTCTGGATAGTAAATGTAGTAAATAGAATCTCATTTTATATAAGTATAGATTGTATAATACGGAAATAATAATACAATAAATATTGTCGACTTTTTTTTATACTAAATCTGATAAATGATATACCTTTTAATATAAGTATAGATTCTAAATTTTCCTTCAATAACCTGTCAGTTCAAAGTTCAAACCTGTAAAAACAATTAAAAAACACGAGATATCCATCTATCCATCCATGGCCATGCATATACTCACAGGCTGTCACAAAAAGTATAATAAATCAACAACTCGAAAAACCAACAACTAAATTCTGGACTCAACATCTCCACATTTATGCAATAAATGTAGAATAGATTATAAATTTTTATTGAATATTGCATCTTATAATATAATATTCTCTAAATAAATATATCCCGTGCTTCGCACGGGTCACAAACTATATATATCTCGTACATTTTTCTTTATTCATGTATATAATTATAAGTCTGGATAAATAGCCTTAAAATTGTGCATCTCGTGCATCGCACGGGCTCTCTGTACTAGTTGAATCAAATAAGACAAAGTAAGAACTGACCAAAAGCAAATTAAATTGACAGAGCTCGGCTCTTTACCAAAACAAACTAATAAACAAATTCGTGCTTAATTTGTTCTTTAAAAATAATGAGTCAAACTTAAAATTAACAATTGATGCTTGAGACTTATGAAAATTACACAAAAGCCCATTTTTTTCGAATCCAAAGGACCGAGCTCTAAATGAACTTGAACTCAGAATTTTAACAAGTCAATACAAACCCAACCCGAAACGTCTCGTCTCATGTAACAAACTCTAAAAATATACATCCTTTCATCACCAATATAGAACCACCTTTTTTTTCACTTGGAACCATTTTTAACATCCTTCACGCATAACCTTAATCGGGAGCAAAAAAAATATATACTACTACATTTTAATCAAAATTTTCAAATATTCAAATTTCTGAATCACAGACCGCAATATAAGGGGCGCGTGGCTTACACCTGACCAAGAACAGAACACAAGGTTGGGAGATTTTTTAGGCCAATGTGTCGGGAGCTTTTGAGAGCTGAGACTGCCCCAGATGTTGATTTCTTGTTCTTCCCTCGTGGGCCTAAGCTATTTCACTCTCAATCCCACAATACTCTTCTCTTTTTTCTCCATATTCTGTTCTTTTCTGTTGAGCCCTTTTTCGTTTTTCCTTTTGGTTTTTTGCAGGCTTGGCTCTAGTCGAACTGTCGAAGTCCCTATTGGCTAATGATTGTTTGATTTAACCATGTATGTTTAATTGTTTATGCATTATTACTTGAACAAAAGTGACATTTTTGTGGCACCTCGTTTTCTTTGTCCCTGTGTTGTTGTGTTCCTTTGTCTCCCTTTTTTATCATCCTTTCTTGTAAAGTATTGATAATAAAGCACGTGTCTTTAATATGGCTTTTCTTTCTTTACTCTGATGGGTAAGTGGTTTTGTTTCCTATTTTGTGTTTTGCAGGAATTTGTTATGAAGAACAGCTGCTCAGCTGAAGGCATTTCTTGTTCTTTATCAGTTTTTTTTTCCACCTCATTTGTTTTGGGCGGGCACGTGCTTTTCAAGAATTTTTTGAACGAGATACTAATAAGTACTGTCCATGGGCAAAATCGAATCTTTTTTTTCTTCACTGACATTTTAATTTAGTCATATACTAATATGTATATCAAACTATTTGTTTAATTACCTCTGTAGTGTATGTTAAGTTCCAGTGACTGAAGAAAATGCTCCTTGTTCATTTGAAATATGTTTGAGAAAATTTTTTTCTTTATGTGATTATTTCACATTTTTGCAGATCAATTGTTGGTTTTTCTCCTGATCTGAAGGCAGCTAAGTTGTATTTGTGAGCTCTGTGATTCCAACCTTCGAGCAACGGTAGGTCCACAGTGCTTTCATTCCTTGTGATTTCATGTTGGAATAAGAAATCTGAATCTAATAAATGGCTCATTTATTACAAAGTTGGCCTCTTTTTTTTTTTTATCAAGACTGTAAGGTTATGGCCTCTTGAAACCTTTACTGTATATATTTGTTTCTTGTTAGTAATTTCCATGCTGCCGGTTTATCGTAAATGGAAATGTATTATTTCCGAGTTTATTGAGGTTGGATGAATAGGATTTGAACTCCCAAAAAATGACCCATTTTTTCTGATTCTGTTTTGACAAAAAAAAAATGGATTGGTGTAATTTGAAAATCCTTTTCTCCCCTGATCTCCTCAAATCCAAATCCTCCACTCGAAATGGAAGTTCTAAATCCTATTTCATCGAGATAAACTTTGATGAGAGTGTTCTGTATGTAGATACAAAATCAAGTTCTCCATCTGCAAAACATTTGTTCTGATTTATTTTTCAAGAATTACAGGTTCTTTTATGATTCCTCCATGTATACATCGATCAAGTCTAGTTACTCTAGTCTCATAAATATCTAAGCCCAAAAACAAAAAAGAAGAAAAAAAATCTCTCCTTTTTTACATATATACACATACATGAACTCCCTATAAATCTAGTGCCTTAATCCAAACTTACCAAGCTTTTTTCCTATCATCCTAAACTAGCCTTTTTTCCTATTTAGTTCTCAAAAAATGGCCAAGGACTATAGTGGTGGGTCCCCCAAGCCTCACCAGCTCAACACGAAGCGAAATCGCCTAACGTACATCCTCATCGTGAGCGGCCTTTGTGTCCTCTTCTACGTGCTCGGCTCCTGGCAAGGCCGCTCCCCAATCCCAACCACCCAAACCGACTTCTCCTCCAAAGTCAACTGCGAAAACGAGAGGGGCAAAACCGACATTTCACAACCATCTCCCGACCAGCTGGACTTCGAGAGCCACCACCAGCTGGCGGTCAACAGCTCCGAGTCAACCGAGCTCTTCCCGCCATGCGAACTTAAGTACACCGAGTACACGCCATGCGAAGACCAGCAGAGAGGCCGGAAGTTTGACCGGAATATGCTCAAGTACAGGGAAAGGCACTGCCCCACAAAAGACGAGCTGCTGAGGTGTCTTGTCCCAGCCCCACCGAACTACAAGAGCCCCTTTAAGTGGCCGCAAAGCAGAGACTATGCGTGGTATTCAAACATACCTCACAAGGAGCTAAGTATAGAAAAAGCCGTTCAGAACTGGATTCAAGTCGAGGGGGATCGGTTCAGATTCCCGGGAGGTGGCACGATGTTCCCACGTGGAGCGGACGCGTACATTGACGATATTAGTGCTCTTATTCCGCTTTCGGATGGGAGTATACGAACCGCGGTCGATACTGGTTGTGGGGTGAGTAAAAAGATTGAATCTTTGTCGTGTGAAATGAAAAAGAAATCTTGCCGTTAGAGTTTTATGGTAGTGATTTTGGGTTTTTTTTTTTTTTTTNAAATGTATTTAGGTTGCTAGTTGGGGTGCTTACCTACTGAAGAGGGATATAATAGCAATGTCATTTGCACCGAGAGATACGCACGAGGCGCAGGTTTGGTTTGCGCTCGAAAGAGGTGTCCCTGCAATGATTGGCATTATGGGTTCGCGTAGGCTTCCGTATCCTGCTCGAGCCTTCGACATGGCACATTGCTCTCGATGCCTCATCCCTTGGTTCGACCATGGTAAAAAGAAAAAAAGAAAAAGAAAAAGGAAAACTTAATCTTGTGATGAAATTTTTTATTTGGTTGATCAAATGATCTATACCGACACATTTCTTTTGTGATTGCTTGCAGGTGGATTGTATCTTGCTGAAGTGGACAGGATCTTGAGGCCTGGCGGGTACTGGATACTCTCAGGCCCTCCAATCCGCTGGGCGAAATACTGGCAAGGTTGGGAGAGAACTAAAGAAGACTTGAAGCAGGAGCAAGATTCTATTGAAGACGTTGCTAAACGCCTCTGCTGGAAAAAAGTTGTGGAGAAAGGAGATCTTGCCATCTGGCAGAAACCCATTAATCACGTCGAGTGTCTCGACACCAAGAGTTCGTATCCCGAGCCGCCCATCTGCAAATCAGACAATGCCGATGCAGCTTGGTAAATTTTTCTCCATCTTTTTACCTTTCCAATTTTGTTATAGAGTCAAAAAAGTTGCAACTTTAGTCCTGTACGTGTGGTCGGTTGCATTTGAGTCCTCTAATTTACTCATTTTGTGAAGAACTCGTCCCGTGGAAAGCAGAACCAGTAGAATTGTCCAATAACAAACAATGGGTTGGTTTTTTAGCTGTTTCTTTAATCAAAAGATGGGAAAAAAAAGGCATTTTTCATGTGAAGATGATTAATAATCATTTGTTTTATTTTCGCCATAAATGGTTTATCCATCTCCCAGAAATGGAAACTTGTCTATAAATCATCTTTCACAAAAAAGTAGCTATTTTTCATCTTTTCACCCACAAATGACTAAAAAGTGATATCAATACAATTAATTAACAAATTGATGCCTATCTCATACTTGCCTAAAAAGGTACAAGGACCTGGAAAACTGCATCACCCCACTGCCAGAAGTGAGTCGGGCCAGTGAGGTGGCAGGAGGCCCGCTCAACAAATGGCCCGAACGAGCTTTTTCGGTCCCACCAAGAATCAGCAATGGCTTAGTCCCTGGAGTCACGGCCAAGCAATTCCGTGAGGACAACGAGCTGTGGAAAGAGCGCGTCTCTTATTACAAGAACCTCGTCAGCCAGCTGCCACGCGGGATGTACCGCAACATAATGGACATGAACTCCAACCTCGGAGGATTTGCGGCGGCTGTCATGAAGTACCCTGTCTGGGTCATGAACGTGGTGCCAGCTGGCACGCCTCAAGAGACTTTGGGAGTCATATACGAGCGCGGTTTTATAGGGACGTATATGGACTTGTGTGAGGCCTTCTCGACTTATCCTCGAACATACGACCTGATCCATGCTGGCGGGGTTTTCAGTCTGTACCAGGACAGGTAAAAAATTCGATGCTTTTTTAGATAAGAGTATTTGGTAAGAAAAAATTTGCAGCAAAGGTTGGGATCTGTCTTTGTGTTCATAAAAATGTCAACTTTTATCTGTGATGACCGAGAAAACCACCGGTATAGACAGATATTACGACCAAATGTGGCTATTTTTGAGTATTTGTGAGAAAAATTTGCAAAGTTTGTCACTTTCTGTCTTTTGTGTTTATAAAAATGTCAACTTTTATCTATTACGACCAAGAAAACGACCGGAATCGACAGATATTATGACCAAATGTGGTTATTTTTTGAGTATTTGTAAGAAAATTTTGCAAAGTTTGTCACTTTCTGTCTTTTTGTGTTTATAAAAATGTCACTTTTATCTGTTACGATCAAGAAAACGACCGGAATAATCGACAGATATTACGACGAAATGTGGTTATTTTCGCAAATTTCCACTATTTGCTGAGGTCTCATTTGCAAATTCGAATTGCAAATTTTTTTGAAGGTGTGACATCACGTACATTCTGCTCGAGATGGATAGAATCCTGCGGCCGGAGGGGACGGTGATTTTCCGGGACGAGGTGGAAGTTTTGGTGAAGGTGAAGAGCATTACAGATGGAATGAGATGGGAGAGCAAGATAGTTGATCATGAAAGTGGGCCATTTAATACAGAGAAAATTCTTGTTGCCACAAAGACTTACTGGACTTCTGAATCCAACCAGGGGCAGAAGTGACATTTTTGACATTTTTTTTTTCCTCTTCCTTTTTGGAGCTGCATTTTAGTTATATGTGTTGGTCTTTTTGTTTCATAATTGCAGGAGAAGGGTTTCTGGCAATTTGATTATTTTGTAGAATGATACATGCATTTCAATTTTGTTTTGGTAATAGCTCTGTGTTATATGTATAGTACACTTTTTGTGTGCAAATAACCAAGTGATATGTTATTTCCTCTCTTTTCACAGGCATTTTACAGTTCATGCTCATATGTTAGTATGTATTATATGTATGTTCACAGTGTGTGAGTCAGCCTAATTGTTAGGCGAGTCGACCCATCATACTATATGAATAAAAATGCACTTATGAGTTATACTATCAAATGTCAGCCTAACCATTAGGCGACATATTGTTTTTACTATGTGTATACTTTCATCACAAAGCATCATACTTTAAAAAGCAATGTAAGAAAGAAATATAACATTTGATAATATAAGTACACATTTTAACTCAAAAAGGTGTGACTGGTCAGTGGTCACCACTTAATGGTTAGGTTGTTTCACTGTCTTATGTTTCTAGTGAAAATCTAAGTAATATCAATGTGTTCCAATAAAGAAATGCATCAGAAAATATAATGCTAATTCAGTCCATATATGAGATGATCAATGGAGGACTGCAAACACAATATAAATTCTGAAAAAAAATGGGCAAATCCAACTTGAAATCCGATACACCATTGGACACTGTTTAAAGCTTGCTCGAGCTTTAAATTCATCATATGAATATATGCATAAATTCATCCTCTGTGAAGCAGAACACAGAGGCTGCACGTAAGGTTTTTTTTTTGTCCCAAAATCCACAGACCAACAACAAATTCACTTGGAAGAAAAAAAAAAATGATGCAATTTGGTGTCTAAAGGCAGGAGAAAAATCAGAATCGAAGTTCCTGCATAAAATCCAGACTGCTGAGATAAAAACACTCGGCTAAACTTGTTTCCACAAAAAATGTCCAAACCTGTCACATAGACAAGAAAACAAATTAATGTTATCATTAGTAAACGTGAGAATTATCTCGAGGCTAAACATGATGCAGCTATAACTATTACAAGGCTGATTCTAATGCATCACGAGCATTTATCCATATATCGTGAAACATAATAACAAGGAAATCAAATTTCACATGAACTTAGTGGACACGATGTAAGATAATATATTAGTGCATGCCAACAAAAAAATATTTACAAAAGGAACTTTGAATTGTATCCTAATGATGTACGCTTTTGCAACAACAAATTAAGTTCTAAAGTGTTAAAGATAGCCTCTAATGAGCTACCGATAATTAATTCGTTAAGAGTTTTAGCGAATGTGCAGAGTGACAACTAAGATAGAGACTCGCCAGGTTAAAGTTTAGATATTTCGGTTTTACCAATCAGTTGGAGGAAATTCGTAAGTGATTCTTTTGTTTGATAGGCTGCTTTAGGAATAAGCATAAGGTTATTTTTCAGCATTCAACAATTTAATTCCATTAAACAAAGCAAACCATTACTCCTCATGTCAAACATTCTTCTAAGAGAGCATTTTGTAGTACCCCCAAAAAACTTGAATTTCTCCTAATAAAGGAAACTAATAACAACAATATCATACGCTCTCTTGTTTTAATACTCATACAAATGTGCTTCATACATTAACGAAAGTCGACCAGAATTCTCGCCAAAAAATAAAAAATAAAAAATATATACAAACTCTATATTTATTATTCTCCATCAACCATCATTCTCTTCATACACACATCATTAGCAAATCACATCATCACTCCTCATGTCAAACATTCTTCTAAGAGTGCATTCTTAGTCCCCCGAAAATCTCGCATTTCAGCTAAAAGAGGAAATTAGCAACAACAATAACATAAGCTCTCTCATTCAAACCTTCTTCTACGACTTCATTCTGAATTCCCCCTAAAAAACTCGCATTTCTACCAATAGAGGAATTTAGCAACAACGAGATATCACAAGCTTCCATGTTCGAAGCACTCAAACACATACACAAAAAGTGGGATGAGCCATATTCTAGCAAAAGAAACAATTTATACAAGCTCTATATTCATTATTCTCCATTAACCATCAATCTCTTCATAGACACATCAAAACAGACAATCCTTGTCTTATAAAATGAACAACAGAGATTCTAATCATATAATCCAATCTCAAATCAAGAAAAAATGAAATGGAAAGAAAGTTCATTAATTCATACCTAAAACAAAGGAAATACCCAAATCAAGCCCAAGAATTATCAAAGGCTGCTGAAGTAATCGCCTGTGAGAACTCCTGAAAACTAATCCTCCCATCACCATCTGTGTCGGCCTCCTTAATCATCCCGGTCAACTCCTCCGCAGTCAGCGCGTGGCCCAGCCGAGCCATGGAGTGAGCCAGCTCGGCCGCCGTTATGTACCCGTTGCCGTCCCTGTCGAACATCTTGAAGAGTTGCTTCAGCTGCTCGTCCGTGTAGGGAGACTTCTCCGGCAGGAGCTCCGGCGCCACCAGCGCCACGAACTCCGAGAACTCGACCAGCCCGTTGTTGTTCGTGTCGGCCTTCTGGATCAGCGCGTCCAGCTGGTCGGGGCTCGGCTTCAGCCCCAGAGAACGCAGGAGAGAGCCGAGCTCGAGCTCCGTCAGGCTGCCGTCGTTGTTCCGATCGAACGATCGGAAAATCTCGCGCAGCTCGGCTAGCTGCTCGTCGTCGAGCTTCACGGCCGGCTCTTTGTTGGCGCTCATCCCCTTTCTTCTTTTTTTTTTTCTTTCTTTTTTTTATGAATATTTACTGAATTCTTGAGAAAACCCAGAAACTGTTTCGATTCTTCCTTCCTCAATCTGTTTTTTT